ACACACTTGCAAGGCAGGTGCTTATGCCGCTGAGCTAAATCCCCAGCCCCCTTTTCACTTCTTTAGTGAGGCCCCAGGAGCTTTCCTGGGAAGCTAAGTGGTGGCCTCTGAGACTGGGATTCGGGTAGTTTGAGACTGTTGGGGGAGGGGGGAGATCCGGCTCTGAGCAGGTGGTGTGAGGGGGATCCCCTCTGTGTGATTCCATCATGGAGACAAATTCTTGTTCACAAGTTCAATGGCTTTGTTGTGTAGGCCTTGTTGAAACATGGACCACTGGGTGGGAAGATGATTGACTGGAAAGGGTCTGACCTAATGCATTAGCACAGAGGGAGAGACCCAGAAAGACCTGTCTGTTCAGATTCTTGGCCCCCCATGCAGCATTCCTGCCTCACAGGCCAGAGGCAGGACCCCTCTGAAATGGGGACCTTGTGGTCCGCTCTCAGACAAGATGGGTCAGAGAGTTTCATGGCTGGTGCTCAGACAGAAAGGTAGGGAACGATTGAATCCATGTTTGGTCTCTAGATCCTGCAGCTGCTTCAGGAACCAAGGATGAAAGGCCGAATATTTCAACCTTATTGGTCTCATCGTCTAAGAAATAACAAGGCTGTGGGACTTATAAGCCAGGAGCTAGGGAGAGAGAGACAGAGAGAGACAGAGACAGAGACAGAGACAGACACAGAGAGAGCTCGCGGTGGCATTTATTCACTGTGCGGCACTGCTGTTAGCTCTATTTTCAAAACATTTTCAGCACTTGTAAAGTCTTCATTAAGCAGTCAGTTCCAATTTTCCTTTCTTCCCAGCCCACGACAACCATTATTCTGCTTTCTGTCTGTGTACATTTACCTGTTCTCATCCTTTATGTAAGCAGAATCAGACAACAAATGACCTTTTGTGTCTGGCTTCTTTCATCTAGCAGAAAGTTTTCAGAGCTTAATTCCTGTTGTTGCATATTACCAATATTTCATTTCTTTTCTAGGATTAACTAAATTCTACTTATGGATCAAACCACATTTTACTTATAATTTTAGTAGTCAATGGACATTTGTTTCATTGTGCTATTGAGAACAGTGCTGTGATTTGCATGCACCTTTTTTGTGTGGGTATAAGTGTTTACTCCACCTCAGAGTAGAATTGCTGGGTCACGTGATAGTCTGTGGTTGACATTTTGAGGGACCCTCAGTCTGTTTTTCACAGTGGTAGCACATTTCAGATGCCCATCGGCAGTGTATGACATTTCCAGTTTTTCTAATTGTAGCTAATACTGTTGTTTTCTCTGTTTTAGATTATTGTCATCCTAGTGAGTGCCAAGTAATATCTTTTTATTTTTGGTACTGGGGGTCGAACTCATGACCTCATGCTTGCCAGGCAGGTGCACAGGCCACTGAGCTAAATCCCGGCCCCAGTGAAGTGAGATCTTAAAATGGTATAATATGCATTTCCTTGGCAACTAATGATATTGAGCATCTCTCCATGGGTGTGTTGGTCACTTGTGTGGCTTTGGACAAACTTCAGTTTAGTCTTTTATTTTTAATTTAGAGTGTTTTCTTTTTGTTGTTGAATCATGGAAGTTTACTATAAATTCTGGATTTTAGAATATATATGATTTACAGCCATTTGCTTCCATTCTGTAGTTTTAATTTTCCCTCTCTTGGTAGTGTCCTTTGGATGTAACAAAAGTTCTTGATTTTGATGAAGTCTAAAGTATCTTTTGCCTTCCCACAGTGTGGTACCGTGCTGTCAGTGTCACAGGCAATAATCCATGTCAGACTCAAGCTTACAAAGATTTTCGTCTTGCTTTTCTCTAACAGCTTCATGCTTTAGCTGTTACATTTAAGTCTTTGAGCCATTTTGTGTTAATTCTTATATAAAGAAAGTGCAGGTAATCATTAAATGTCATTCTTTTGCCTGGGGCCCTCTAGTTATCCTAGTGAGGAAAAGGAGAGAAACTATTCTGAGGCCACAATAGATTGCATCACCTACACGTCCTTTGCAGGGCCAGGGAAATTGCAACTGAGTGAGATTTTCAAGAAAAGGGGCCGTAAGATCCGGGCATGTGAGCTTCCCTGAGGAGTGGCTGACCATGATAGGCTGAGGACACCAGATCCACTCCTCAACCAGAGCATTTCCCCAGATGCCTTGAGCCACGGCCTAAGAGTGGGGACAGTGACAGGAGAGATGGCTCTGGACAGCATCAAGGTCAGACTACGCTGAGGCAGCATAGTAGTGGCCTTAGGCCACCAGGGGGCGGAGCAGAGATGGATACCCAGTGGGACTTCGTTAAATGGTCAGTAGGGTTTTGTAGCCAGAGGGGCTGTGTCCTCCCTTAGGGACAGAAAAGAACTAAGAGGCTAGGGGTGTCAGCATTTCCACGGACCCCAAAACTATTTTCCTTACTTGTTTTTTGTTCTCCTCCAGGATGGTACAACCTGGAAAAGAAAGAGCTACAATTAATTTCCCTTTGCAAAATGCAGTTCAGAAAAGAACATTCTGTTTCCAGGTCTCCTGATTTCTGTAGAAATTCTATACCAGCGTTCAAAATTAAGCCCGTATGCTGAATCGTGCATTTCTTTCAATGATTACTTTTTTTTTTTTTATAAAGGAAGAGTAGTTTATTTGAAAATTAGCAATTGAAGGGGGAGGAAAGGGATGTCACAAAGAATGGATACAATTCTGTTATATTAATCTATTTCAGATTTTTCAAATTTCACAACTATAGTTTACATCTACCAGCACACATTCTGCAGACATTTTTCGTCATGCACTAAGCTGAAAAATCTAAAATTAAATGTTCAGCAATGTTCAGGCAAATGAAGAGATCCCCTCCCCCCAGGCCCTCCTTTGACATAACTAGGACGATACAATATCATAACCCTTTAAAAGGATTAATTCTGTCTAAAACCAGCTCATGAAGAAAAGCACATGGCGCTTTCAGAAACATTCTGGGTAATGGCCCATCTTTATTACATTTACAGACCGGGTGCCTGGTGTTGTCCCTGAACAGCAGACCAAGATTGTGACAAGACTCTATGGGGGAGTCTGCACAGAATTATAGAAAACCTCAGTAGTAGTGAAAATCTTCAAAATAGAATAGCACAAAGGCTCATTTTCCTTCTTTGAAGTAACGTATTCAAACTATACCATTGCTGGCAATGAGGTAGCAAAACACATCCACATACACTTTGCTACTAATAGTGCAAAACAGCAATCCAAATCAAATATACTTTTGTGACTCAGTGATTTGCATTACCCAAGGAGGGATCTTGCCTTTTGCCTGTTTAATACAAAATTAATATGAGACTGTTTGTAAGCCAGCGGTCTCCTAAATAGCTATCTAAATATCTAGGTTAGACAAAATTATATTGTACCCACTTAATGCACACAAAGGCAAGTAGAGATTTGAGATATGCAAATAAAACACGGCAATGTTAAGAGGCACTAGTACCTTTACAGAGCCAGAGGAGGGGCAGGATTGTAAAAATAGTTTTTCCTTTTGTTATTTAAGGTACTGTTAAAGTTACCGTAATGTTTTTGTTTAATAAAAGTGTTAAATAAATTACAGGGAATACATATTCCCTTTTAGTTGTATGTAACGAGGAACAAAATCAACCATAGCATTTCATTTTTAAAAATGTTTTTAAATCTTGCGTCTGTCTGTCTAGATTGCTTTGGGATTTCTTCCACACAGGATTAAATTGCATTTACCCAGGGTGTGTGTTGGGGGAGGGGTGCTGAGGATGTCAGGCTGCTGCATTTGGGGAAAATGCTCAGGAAGGGCAGACTTCCAGAAAAAGTCCTTGAGCCACCAGGAAACTGAGTTTGGCGGCACAGAACAGCTTCTAGGGCACCCTTCCCATTTTGTCCTCTAGAAGTGGCACACAGGGGTGCGCAACAGGGAACACATCCTCTGATGTTCTGCAGTGTCCCCTCTGTTCTAACCCTTTACTGCAGTGGACAGTTCCCCCACCGGACCACGATTTTTTACTTCTTCCTTGCAGAATTCCTGGTAATGAGCAACAGAACCCACGCGGGCTGGTTTAAACAGGAAAGGGATTTATTCAGGAATATAGGGAGCTTAGAATTCCCCAGAGAGCTGGCAAATGAGGCTTCCTGGCACAAAACTGGGGAGACACTTAAACTGCTCCCGGAGAGACCCACACGTATTGCTGCTTCCTACAGACAGCATAGAGGATGTCACCCATTTTCTGCCTTGCTTTCTAACCTTCAACAAACAGTAGGTTCAGAGTGGCACCTAATTCCTCTTGGTTTTGAATTCAAGTCTCGCCCATGTATGTATGATTGGTGGGGGGTCTATGTGAGGCACCTGGACCCCAAACATACCTGCTAACTGTTCCGCTTCTATATTTGGTGGGAAGGACTGATTATGTGGGAAACTCCTTAACTATGGAGAGCAACAAATGCAATGAATATCTACTATTTGATTTTAAAAAACCTTCTAGTTGTCTGATTTACTGTTTTTGGCCATGCACTTTTGGGAAAGCTCGCCCCTCTTCCCAGCAATCTTGATTAAGTCAGTCATGGAAATTCCCTTCATGGGAACTCTCAAAATGGCATGAGACCCAATTGTGACCAGTGAGTCATGAAGACACACCATGGAGGAATTTCCTGGAAATTTTTCTTAGTTCTTAAAAAGAGACACAAAGACACAGTAACACCTTTTTCTGCCTCTGGGTGATGGAATGGGGGGACTTGAAACCTGAAATTGGGGAAACCTCTAGTGACTGGTATGCTTCAAACAGCACAACAGAAAGATGGAATTAATCTGAATCCTTGGTAACATTGCTTGACCACCAAATCGACCAGCCCGAGTCCCTCCTGTCTGAGCATTGCGTCTCATGTGAAATAAGACGTCGCCGTGTTGTTTGAGCCAGTTGAGGTTTTCCTGTTGCTCACAGCCAAAAGCATCGTGACCTCCTCACTCTGTACTGCCTGTGCTGTGTGTACTGCGTGTACCATGGTTTTGGAAACTGAAGACACAGCCATTTCCTTGGGCCTCAGGAACTTTATTTTCAACACCAATGTAACTAGAGTGGGGCCAAAGTGGGGCCATATGCAGAAAGTCCCTTTTGAACAGATTTCCTGCTCAGACATGGGGCCCGAGTCTATCCTCCCTCGGCAACAGCACCCTGGTTCCTGGGCGGCAGGTCCTTTCCCCATCATGGAAAAGACCTGCCCCTCACTGAGAAGGCTGAAGAAGACCCTGGAGACATGCAGCGGGGTAAGTAATGGTCAGCTTTTGTCTCCCAGCTGAACTAATCATGGTGCTGGCTGGGGAAGGCCGCTTGAACAGACCTTGCTTGAGAATTGTCATGAATTCTAGGCCTTCAGCTGGACTTATGCAGGACGTTGCCGTGGGAAGCAAGCCCTCAGCTGGATTTTTTAGAGTGTGGACAGACCTCCTGTATTATTTTGCATTTGATTTTTTTGGTGAATATTATAAAATAATCCTACAAATCAGGTGTCCTGTATTAAATCTATTTCCTTGCAAATCCTGACTACAACAAAACACTTCCCATCACCGTGGAGTGGTTAAGTGTAGGCTTAAGATCTAAGCACAGTTGATCTGACGTTCTCTAAGTTAGGATAGAACATAGTGGTGAGAATCCGGAGACGTAGCTCAGTGAAGAGTGCTTGCCCAGGACGAATGAGGCCTTGGGTTTCATCCCCAACACTGCTGCCCCCTGAAAAAAAGAAAAGACAAATTAATGGCAAGGGTCCACTCATCCCACAAAACCCCACGGTGGTCCTGCAACTTACCAGGACTGCTAAGTTGTTTTAGCTGCCTGGTGGTCCAAGATGCCCTGAAGGGATATCTCCTTTGTTGCTAAAATCACCATGTTTGCAGGAAAGAGATTTCAAAACCTCCAGTAATCCAGCCAGAGACATTCTACTGTGGAAGCTTATACACTTGAAAAAGATCCAAATTAAAACCTTATGAAAATTCAGTTTATAATTCTACCTCTTTCTCTAAGGGTTGTTTCAGTGAATTTATCCTGAAACGATTTTTGTTGTTCTTTTGTACATGAAATCCATCCTATTTCTTCTTGATGTCTCCTTCCCACTGAAATCGGGGTTTTAAATTATGCAATAAATAGGCTAACCTAAAACAAGCTACTCAAATTAAACAACCCACTCAAAGATGTTTACAGATGAACTAACTATTCATGAATCATTTACATTTATAAATTTCAGGAACTATTTGTAACACAGATTGTTGCATGTTGGGAATTTGAGGACAATTATTTGAAATATTTATTTCTAGGAACTGTAATAATGAGTATGCCATGACATGCAAAGGCAAAAATAGATCAATAAATAAATACTGAGGAAGTGGAATTTTTTTAAAAAGTCATATAATCCCTTCATTTGGAAGATTTATTTACTTATTTTTTTTTTGCAATTGTGGTTAAAGCATACATAACCCACTTCTAAAAGTACAGCATGTTTAAAAAATTAGTGTTTTGAATTTATCAAATCTATTCTCATATAATGTGTTAAGATAAGGGCTCATGAATTTTCAGGTGAAACCAACATTCTTCAGTGTATTTCTTGAAGAAATGTTTGCTATGAAGCTCCGTACCGGTACTGCATTAGAGAGGTTCCACAGCTGCTCCTTTTGAACCCTGAAACAAGTGAAAATTATCCAACCACCGAAGACACAGATTCATAGTGCCAGTCACTTAATTTATCATTTCTAACCTTATTATAGAACGTTCAGTGAATATTGTAGTAGAAAAAAATAACCATATCAAAAAGAATGCAGCATCAACTTTCGTATTTTTAAATTTTTATTATGGAAAATTCCCAATGTGCACAAAATAACCAGGAAAGTGTAATGAGCCCCTATATATCCAACACCCAGCTTCAACAATCATTGCTGTTCTGTTAGGTCTTGTCTGATCTATATTTACACACACACACACACACACACACACACACACCAATCTGTGCTTACAGCTTTTAGGTAAAGTTTCTTCCCATTAAGATGCATGAATCTTCACCAGTTTGTATGTCATCCTTGCACAGGGGCCATGCTAATCTTCTCTGTATCATTCCAATTTTAGTATAGGCACTGCCAAAGAGAGCACAAGATGCGTGAATCTTAACCATACAATTCTGACAAACAAATGCTCCCATGGTACCCCTACCTCATCACAATATCGAACATTTCCATCTCTCCATAAAGGTCCCTTATGCTTCCTCCTATTCATCCCCCATTCAGAGAAAGCCATTGTTTTTACTTTTTTACTGTATTATTTTTGACTGTTCTAGAATTTGACATAAGCAATTTTACTCTTTCGAGTTGCCTTCTTGTGCTCAGAATATTTCTGAAGTTCATCCATGCTGTAAAGTAGTTCTTTCCTTATTATTGTGAAATAGTATTCCATTGCAAGGATAGTCATTATTTATATCTTTGGGGATAGGCTCCAAGACTCACCATGAGCACCAAAATCCACAGATGCTTCAACCCTTTATATACATAAAAGCATAGTATTTGGGTATAACATGCAGAGCCGCCCATGTACCTTAAATCATCTTGATATAATACCTAACCATAAATACTATGTAGTTGTTATACTATGTTGTTTAGAAAATGACTCGGAAAAAAGCTAGTACTTTTTCAGTAAAGAGGCATTTTTATGCTGAATACTTTTGATTTGTAGCTGGCTGCCTCCATGGATGCAGAACCTCTGGATACAGATGGTTGCCTGTACTGTAATTTCCTTATCTGGTCTCTGGTCAATGGATTTAAGTTGCTTTCAGCTTTTGGCTGTTGTGAACAGTTTTGCACAAGGCTTTTTATGGGTATAAGTTTTCATTGTTCTTGGATAAACACCTGGGAATGAGATTGCTAGGTTAAAGTCTAGCTCTACGCTCAATTGTAGTGGACGCTTTCAAACCATTTTCAAGAGTGGTTGAACCTTTTTATAACCCAACATATACCTTTAACATTATATATCAGTATAGTACATGAAAATTTAAGTTACTCCACATCCTTGCTAACATTTATCTTTAGTTTTTAAATTTTAGCCATTCTTGTGGGTATTTCAATATTACATTGTTCTTTAAATCTACATTTCATTGATGATTAGTAAAGTTGATCATTTGTGCTTGCATTGTGCATTTGTGATTGGTTCATTGTCCAGCACTTGGATTGATGGTGTCAGTGCTACAACTACCTAGGGGTGGAGCCAGCATACAATGTTATGGCAGGAAGAAGGTGTGTCTCTTTCTTTTGCTGGTTTCTGCCTTGCTGTTTGCAGCGCCATGAACTGCAGCCCCGCCATGCCACCCTGCCTTGGAGCCAGCTGAGTATGGACTGAAACCTCCAAAAACTGTAAGAAATAAGCCTTTCCTTTCCCAACTTTGGGCATCAGATATTTTGTCTCAGCAATGAGTAAAAATAACTAAGTAGGTGATCTCCTCATCCTGTTGAAACAAATTAGCATAAGCAACGTAACTTTATTCTCCGAAAGTTCTAGAGATCACAAGTATGAGATGAGTGCCAGGGCAGGATGAATTCCTTTTGAGAACTCCAGAAATCATGGATTGCTTGTCTTTTTCAGCTTTTGAAGGCTGTCGTTGCTCCTTGCCTGGGGCAACATCGGTCCAATCTGTTTCCCATCATGGTCTCTGGGTCCAGTTCTACCATTTCCCCTAACAAGGACCATCACATTTGTCTCATCCAGGTAGCAGAGAATATTTTCCCAGGAAGTTTTTCTATCTTAGGATCCTTATAGCAACGGCAAGATCTGTTTTGTTTTGTTTTGTTTGTTTTGTCATATAAAGCAATTTAGTCATAGGTTCTGGGCATTAGAACTGGGACATCTTTGGAGGAACATTATTCAGCCTACACAGTAGCTAAGTCCTTTGTTTTCATTTATTACTGTTTTGGCTATTTTAGATCTTTTAAGTATTTCCACAAATGTTTTAGACTATGTGGGAAGTCACATCTTGAAAATATTAAGTCATTTGACGGATAACCTGAATACATCTCCCTCTTCATTTAGAACGTTCTTCATTTCCTTTAGCAGTATTTTATAGTGTTCAGTGTCGAGGGTTTGCATTCATATAGAAGTCTTTCATTAAGACTTTTCCTAAATATTTTAGGGTTTGTTGCTAATTATTAATGAAGTTGTTTTGGATTCTAATTTTTTTCTAATTATTTCCTGCTAGTAATAGAAATATGATCTTTATCGACTTCATATCTTAAGATCTTGCTTATTTTTGAGTTTCAGATTTTTGCTGCTTTTACTGCTGATTCCCTGGATTTTCCCACATCAACCATCATATCTGCAAATGGGGACAGTTTACATCTTTTATAATCTTTATATTTTTAGTTTTTTCTTGCCTTGTAACAATTTCTTACCTTATTCCAATTATAGCAATAGTTAAGACTACCAGTGTAATTCTGATCGGAAGTGGAGGAAAGATGGTCCCTAATTTTATAGTAAAATATTCATGTTTGCAACAATGAACATGGTATTGGTGATAGGATTTTTCATAGCTGCCCTTTATCAAATTGAAGAAGTCATCTTCCAATTTTCAGAGTTTGGAGGATTTTTTTGGACTATGAATGGACGCTTAATTCTGTGAAATGCTTTTTCTGTGTCTTGTTATTACCTGAATTTCTCTCTTACTTTGGGGAACATATGTGTTGATTTCTCTTTTGGTAATGCTTAGGATTAATCCCAGCACCTCGTGCTGAGCTACATGCCCAGCCATTTTATTATTATTTTTTTTAATTTAAAGAGAAAAAAGAAAGTACATTAAAAAAAACCAAAGTAGTAAAAGGATACAAGAAATACAGAATTTCAAGAAAAAAATATACAGTAAGAAATCACTAGTTAATAGGTTACATATTGTCTTCCTAGAAACAGTTGCCCAAATTATAAAATTAAAGCATATAAAGTAGACATTCATACAGCGACATTGGAGACAGTTCCGTTCAATGATCCAACAAAAGCTCAGTAATATGGTTTTCCATCCTACACACTCAAACATACCTGCGGTTATATCCCTTAGTCCACCTTCCTTTCCTCTCTTTTTTACAATAACAATTATACTTTTTGGGTTTTATTACTCCCACAGTTCTTATTACTTTTTTTTTGAAGAGAATAAAACCAAACATAACTAAGCAAAACAGAGTCACTTAGAACAGAAGGGTGTGCATAGCACATGATGCAAAAATAGAATACCAGGCGATCAAAAGTGGGTACCATTGTGCCTCTTGCTATTTTTAAATTGAGTTGCCTATATCATCAGGTATAATAGAATTGATCAAAACAGTACAGAACAAGACCAATAAAACCTACACTGGAGACCTTACAGGACTTCAAAAAAGGTAATAGTCAAACCATAATGGGCATCATAGTACATCTTATTGCCTTCAAAGTGGTTGCCTATACCCTCAAACTTGATAGTATCAAACAAAATAGAATATAGTATAATCAGACAGAACAAGATGGGGAGAGCAATACTGGGGTTCAAATCAGGTTAATTTTGTTTGAGACAGAGTCTAGCTGAGTTGCTCAATCGCCCAGCCTGTGCTGAACTTGCAATTCTGCCTCACGCGGAGTGCTGGGAGTGTAGGCATGAATCACTGTGCCTAGCTTATTTATTGAATTTAAAATTTTTTTAATTTTAAGGATAATAAAACCCAACAATACAAAACAGAATAAAGCCATTTAAAACAAAGCAGAGAAAGTACAGGACAATAAGTCATCAGCAATGGCTCCCATAATGTATCTTACTATCTTCACGATAGTTGTCCATTTCCTCAGACATAGTAAAACTGAATAAAACAAAACAGAATAAAACCAATCAAAACAGAGCATCGAATAAAACAAAACAATAAACTGGAACAAAACGAAACAGTGAGAATAATACTGGATTTCAAAAATAAGACAGAAGGAAATCCCCCATATTTGCCATATTGCATACTGTCACGCTCCTAATAGATGCTTAGACTACCCGCCGTAGGCCTGCAAAGTCAATCAAATGTCACAAGCATTTAGTTGTTTTTGTAACTCAGTTACTATCAACTCAGCCTGTCCTCTGAAGCAGCCAGTTGCTTATGGGGGGCTGGGGAGTCTTGATTCTCAGCCCACGCACCGATTGGCTCTCGGGAAAGGCAGTCTGGCTTTCTGGGCCTGCCTGGTTTGCAGGGCTTATGGGAAGAGCAAACTAGGTCCTTGATGTGCTCTTCCCAGGCCCAGCGTGGCCTCTGCTGACTCACAGAAATAGCAGACTGGCTTTTCTCTTCCCTCACCTGATCTGCCTATTTGCTGAATTTTTGAACATTAAACTAACTTGGCATAATTGGAATAAAAACTCCTTTGTTGTGATGTATCCTTTTGTTCAGAATTATTGCTTAAAACCCCTGATGTATATTGGTGTTTAATGTTCTTTTAATGCCTTTGTCCAATTTTAGTATCCAAGTTATGCTGTCCTCACAGAAGACATGAAGCATTGCTTTGTTCTACATGGACTTTGTATAAAGATAGTATTATTATTTCATATAGTATTTAATCAACTTTACCAGAAAATGGGGCTTAGGGCTTTTTTTCCCTTTCAGTTCTTTTAAGATGTTCGTCTATTGTCACTTGGCCTCTGTTGGTTCTGATTACAAGATGTAATCTGCATAATTACTCATTTCTATGAAATGTATTACTTTACTTTGGACTCTTGATAACTTGAGTGTATAGGTTTTGTTGTTGTTTTGTTTTGTTTGTTACCGGGGATCGAACTCATAACCTTGTGCTTGCTAGGCAGACGCTTGAGCTGCTGAGCTAAATGCCTAGCAACTGTACACTTTGCATATAATGAGTCAGCTTTTCACTGCCATGACAAAGTCCTAGACATAGATAAATTAAAAGGAAAGACTTTTTTGGCTCAGAGTTGCAGGGGATTCAGTTCACGGTCCCTTGGATAAATTGTTTATGGGCTTTTGCTGAGGTAGACGTTGCGGCAGGAGGCATGTGGAAGACCAAGCTGCTCAGGCTCATGGTGGCCAGAAAGCAGAGAAAAGGGGTGAAAATTCAGAATAAGAGACCAGGACAAAATACATCCTTCAAGCACACCTC